CTTGAAACATGCCGTCATGGGAGAAGCAGTAAATAAATAAGCAGCTGCTTCAACCGGGACCCAAAAATGGACCTCGTATTTTTCGATAAAAGGTATAATCCATTATTATCACCCTGTGTCCCATCTCAATCTCAGTCAGCCACCTGAAGCAAAAAGTAGCAGTAGGAAAATTGATATCGGGAGCTAATCGTACACCAACCCGCTCAGAGGCTCGTCAACCAAGGCAACAAGGCTACAGCGTTTCATCAAATCCGCATTTGAACCAGTGCGCGGCGTATTCCACATAACCCTACCCGACGGTTGATTTATTGTCGATGACGTCACTGCTCCAAGCTACCTTTTGACACACTCTAAAAACCCGCCGAAGTTGCGTTGACCGCTTCGTTTTCCTCTTGAATCAGCAAAGTTTCCAGGGTTTGCCAAGTTCTATAATAAAAAAAAAATCCCTCAACTTCTCAAAAATCTGCTTCTTCTTCTATCCTTCAAATGTTATATGACGCCGCTGCCCATATCTGCTGAGCCTAAAAGACTAGCCAAATTAAGTTTCTTCCCTCCTTGAGAAATTTCAACGGGCTGCTGTCCCTTCAAGTTCGATGTTTCTTCATGTTTTGTAAAGGTATCATCTAACTTCTCAAGAATACTCTGCTTCTTTCCTGTCTCTCTGAAAGTACGAATCATTGTGGATTAGTTGTCGTCCCAGCAGACCCGCGTCATATCATCACACCGTATACTTTTCGCTGCTTCCTGGAGAGTGCAAAATCTAGAAGAGTTTCTAATGACACATGTCCTTCTCCTCTTGTAGGAATATTTTTTTTTGTTTTTTTGGACTCTAAAATTTTTTCTGGAAAGGCATTTTGTTTGAAAAATGCCCCAATTACAGCGAGAGTTCCTCCGTACTACGTGCCGCTCTTTACCCTCCTGTTCCAAGCAAATCCTTCCACCACTTATTTCTAAGAAATCTTCAATACGGCACCTGGAAATTAAGTCCGAGCGTTCCTAAACGAAGCAAGAATTCGAGAGCCCACTCTTCTCTTGTAACATTTTGTAATGGTAAACGCGTTATGTGGCTCCCTGCAATGAGATCACACTGACAGAAAGAAAAACATTCTGAAATTCAGATTATTTTCGAAATGCCTTCAGGGAACAAGTATTGCATGCTTGGGGAACGTAAGGCTCGTGGGAGAATACAATCAAGTTTTTCAACCCTTTCTGATTTTATTATTCTGCTTTCCGCTTCACTGAGCTCATTGGTTGGCACTGGCGATAAATTACGTTATGATATATACTCTCGCATCGTCATAGTCATATTCTGATGAGTGAGCGCACTTGGTTCTTAACTCCAGATGCTTTACACAACCGGGTGTTCCCTTCAAGAGGTCGTCGCGTGGCGAAGAAAGAGACGCCTATGCGGCCAAGGACGAGTCGCAACATGTGCTGTGGAAAGTGAAACGTAGTATGATGCCCTCTATTTAACCTGACGCCTAACTGCTACAGTATGCGCTGCGACTCGTCTTTTGCCGATCTCTGCGTCTTTTCCTTCGCCGCGCGACGGGCCTCTTGAGGGACATCCGCTTTATACCTTATATTTTACGCTCTCAGGACTTCTGTCAACCATAAGACTAGACAACTAAGCGTTTTGTAGGGATGCTGGGAGACTCTCACCACATGCATTGCTAAAAGCATCTCTCTAACGTCGGTTTTCTTCCAACCAGAAAGCCTAGCCCTTAGTACTTCAACTAAAGAAAAACGCATATTTTCTTCATCCAATTCAGCGCCGTTGTTGACAGAAGTCTTGTTACCGTACTCTACAGCTAGCTGCGTCTGTAGCGCAGACCAAACATCACATGTGACGACGGCCTCTACAAAAATTCTGTATTGAATGTGTTTGAATGCAGCGATGGTAGACAAATCAAGAGTTGTAAATGTTGTAGTTCGCTGATAGATAAAGAAGGCGACCGAAAATCGAATCAATCATGCTCAGTTGGCAGACCCTTACTAATTCCCATTTGTACGATTCCGTCGTCAATAATGAGTCGTTTGGTCCAGCATACACAGATGTAGCACTGAGCTCTAGCTACAAATGTGTGTTGTTATGGTGGCAGTATAACACCTGTTGGCTCACTTTCTAGATTCTAAGCTACCATAAAGATCACTAAGTTTTCAGGCTCCGTTGGTCGATATGGAAATAACTGTAGGAGACCTGCCTGATTTTGTTCCTTGCACTCTACGATATAAATGTGAAAGGATTTTGGTAGTGCGAAGCGTTACATCTGAAATTGTCAGCAACAAATACTTTCTTCCAATTTTATCATGTCTAGAATAGAGGGATAGCCGAGTGGTTTGGAATGACGACCTCAGGCCCCATCTCTTTTGAGTCATCACATGCCCTTCAAACATTGCAAAAATGCTTCGGAATCATCGTCACACCCATGTTGACACGCCAGTTCGCACCAAATCCCGTTCTGCGCGTGGGGCCGGCAATTCGATCTTCCCAAGGCAGTTGCGGGGACGAGATAACTCCGTAAATTTATTGTTGTCAACGCTATATTTTCATTATTCTTCAACATACACATCCCACACTCTCATGTTCGTTGCCTACGTAGTACAATGATAATTTAATGTCAGGCCCCGTCTAATCAAGGACAATCTCAGTCTGGGAAGCAGGCGAAAGATTCAAAGAGATTTCGCACCCTCACCCTTGGAAAAATTGAATTGGCCCATGGACCCTGCGACGGGTCGTGATCAACGCTAGGCAAAAGAAGATGCCCTGTCTTTCAGTCTATGGGTCACCCAAAATGGAGAAATCGTTGCACCCACCTTCTTGTTTCTCCAAATTTTTCATTATTATTTATATGAACGGCACACGAAGTGGCGATGATTCCTTCGGCTAAAGTTCGGCGATTCAAGCTTCTTCCGAGCCCTAAAAAGTTGGAAAATCATTACAACGACTACCGACCGATAAGGCCGATGTCAGACTTTGCGATTGGAGCGATTTTGCACCAATTGCAGGAGCGACGGATCGCTTGAGCGATGCGAGCGACGGGAGATTTACACCGCCGACCAACGATAATTCGGCGCCATCAGTTCGTAAATCTCCCGTCGCTCGCATCGCTCAAGCGATCCGTCGCTCCTGCAATTGGTGCAAAATCGCTCCAATCGCAAAAAGTCTGACATCGGCCACTAATAACTACCGTATCGAGACCATTCGAAGACCAGCTGGCTACTACCATGATTAGCAGGTGAAGAAATAACCATGCACCCTCCAACAACAGCAGAAATCACTCCACAGGAAGACCACAGATGTCAAAGATCGCAGGACAGAGATAGACTGAAGTGACCGTACTGTCACCGGTTCCTGACGAGCTGCTTCTGTCGCTGCGCTGTAGCAGAGCCTCTTTCGATGTATCGCTTAGGTCCCATAGAATTTTTTACCCTCGCTCAATACACGACATGGAAACTGACATTCGATCTTCAAAGTTCGCACCACCAGTGTAATTTAGTATTCTGCCCTCAAGGCGCGTCCACCGCTGGCAAATGTCAAAGAGCTCATACGAAAACTAAAACCGAGATTTAGAGAGCATAAGAACGTGCAACTGCAAGATAACTTGGCACGTAAAGCCAAACCGAGTCCAGCTCAGTGGTACACCCAAACCAAAACCAATCACTTTATTTTTTTCTTAGTCGTCCTATGTGCATGCCTGACGCACTTCCAGGGACGTCTGCACCCATGTCTAGAAATCTTAAAAACGCGCCGTAATAACGCCCCAGGGCATGCATTAAGCGCTCCGCTCGCGCCGCCTGGAGGCGCTCCGGCCGCCCACCATGGGATGTGGTGCGTGGCTGGCCTAACGTGTGAGATCAGCTGAGTTGATTGCCGTATCAACCGATGGAACGGCTGGCATATCCAGAAAACTCGTTTGGACGTGACTCTCCCCCGAGCAAATCTCCTTCACTGCTAGAAGGAATGGGTTTCTATTTAGGTGTTGTCGACAGTTTTTTTCGTTTTTTCTTCACTATCGTTCCACCTCCCATCTCTAAACTCAATATCAGGTGCCATAATGCCGAAACACGAGCCTGACTTTTGCCTTTAATCAAAAAAGATTCAAAAGCGTTTTTCATCTTCGTGCTACTGTACACAACGAAAGGGGTTATTGGAAAATTTAATCCCATGTTTGTTACCATAAGGAAAAAAAAGCTAGAATAGTTTGATACCCGGCCGTCCTTGAGATCACATTTTGCTGCTGATGCCAAGTGACCTAGACCGTTGCAGTGGGTAGTCTGGAGGTACTCAACGAAGTTAAGATAACTGGCCGTTTGCTGAATCGCAATAGTTGCGTGACAGGGCGTCTGTTGTTCCGGCACCGTCGGCCGAGACTAAGACGTACTGTCGCCTCTCGTCGCGCTAATGCACTTTATTTCACTCGTCTGCTCTAACTCTCCCTTGTCACGAAGATCTTTTGGGCTGCTTCTCACAGGCTCGTTCTTCGCTTAGGAGTGGTCCTTATGTGCAGTGCTTTCAACAAGTTCTTTTTCCTTTTTTCTCTCACTTCTGCTTGCATGAGTGGGTAACCAGACCGCCTCGGTCGTGGAAAACGCCCTAAAGTGCTAGTTTTTTTTTGTTCGTGCTTCGCAATTTCGCCATTGAATGGGCCACTACGACGACCACTCGTTCAAAATGATGCACAACAAACATAGCGGAATGGGTGGAAATTACTGTGCTAGCTCTTTTGAAGAGGTCTTGTTGAGCGTTCCTTGCTCTAATACAGGATCTCGAAGGAGAAAACTAATCTCAGAATCACAATCCTCTTTTTGTCTCCACAAAATGCAGGAAAATGGTCATTAGTGTTGCAGAAGTGCGACTAATGAGCGATTTCCTTTCATTTTCCTCGAACTACCGTAAAGTTGGTTGAATCGGTGCAGTCACCGTGTCGCAATCGCATTCGCTAGCTAACGACCGCGAAAGGCCGGCTATAAGATTACTATTATATTTCTAGTTAACCATGGGAGCCTGCGAGTCGTTGGAGGCCAAAGCCGCCCGAGAAGCAGCGCTAGTTTCGAAGAAAATTGATCGAGAACTGGAACGAAAGAACAACGGTAACATGGAACAAAAACTATTGCTACTTGGACCCGGTGAAAGTGGTAAAAGCACCTGTTTGAAGCAGTTGAAGTGAGTCGTACTTCTCTTTCCAGTTGATTATACGCTTTGTGGTAAATTCTAAGCTTGGTTCAGAATAATGCACGCAAATGGTTACTCGGAACAGGAGATTCAAGAGAAGAAGTTCGTGGTTTACATGAACATTGTACAAGCGATGAGCGCTCTTCTGGACGCCAAGGATACGCTAGGGATTGCGTTCGACAACAGTTCTATGGAGGTGAGATTTGGCTCCCCCTTAATAAGGCTGCAGAAAAAAATCAGGTGTTATCAAGCTACAAGGCTGCAGAATAGCTGCAAATGGAGCTTCATTCACTCACCATCAGTCGAGCGGCTCGCTGATGGGCCACGTCCCACTCAGGTCGACCTGGTCTGGGCCAAGTGAATGCTGTGCTTGTCTCAGTGGGTAATAACACAAAGTTGAGAAGCTGAGCTGCCTTAAATGTACAGGTCAAAATTAAATCACTAGAGCAATGCTCTCCGCGTGTGTGAGTGAGCACGG